AGGCAGGTTCCAGCAGGCTCCCAAGAGCGCTCCAGGAGCGCTTCAAGTGGCCTCCGAGAGAGCTCAACATGGCCCGAGACGGTCCAAGAGCGATTCAAGACGCCAGAGATTGCCTCCAGACAGCCCAAAAGCGCCTTCAAGACGCCCCAAGAGGCCTCCAAGAGACCTCCCGAGAGGGCCCGCAGAGGCAGAAATTAGTGTTGTTCCTTCAGTTTCTGACGGTTCTGGGCGTTCTCGCCTTTTCGGCTACGCCCCAAGACAGCCCACGAAGCCTCCAACAGGGCCCCAAGACGGCCCAAGATGACCCCAAAACAGCCTAAGAGGCGCCCAAGACGGCCCAAAAGAGCCCCAAAACGGCCCCAAGAGGGGCCCAAGAAGGGGACCAGGAACCGACAAGTCCAGCCTTCAGCCTCAAGAGGCCCCCAGGAGGCCCCAAGAAGCCCCCAAGAGGCCCCCAAGGGCCCCCAAGAGGCACCCCAAGAAGCCCCAAGAGGCCCCAACACGGCCCCCAAGAGGCCCCAACACGGCCCCCAAGAGGCCTCAAAACTGCCCCCCAAAGGCCCCTGAGAAGCCAACCACGAAAGCCCAACCAACATCCGTGAGGCCTCTGACCCGCCACCCACCGCCTCCGAAAAATGGCAGCCGCCCAACCGCACCGCATTGACAGCAACACCCCGACAAACGACAGCGGCGAGGCAATATGGGCCAGCGGAATGAGCGAAGCGATTGAATAACATGATGCGGCAACTCATCGGAGCCTCCAATACCATCTTGCTGGCTCTGATGAGTCGACGCTAACCGACGCTAATCGACGCCAGCCGATGCTAAATCGACGCTACTCGACGATAATATACGCTGAATCGACGCTAATAGATGCTAAATCTATGCTTTCCCATCGATTACCAGACGCTATCGCACGCTAATCCAGTCTGAATACGGAAACGCGAGGACATACATGACTCCCATGAATTGCCACCGAACGACGGCACTTCTTGCCAAGAGGATGAGGATCGAGGAGGAAGTAGGATCGATGAGGATGGAGGGTCAGGAAGTATCAAGAATGCACTGCTGAGACGTCTCCGCAAGAACGATAGCCATTAGGGCCGATCAAGGGGCCAACAAGGAGGATCAAGCTGGATTCCGTCCAGGATCAAGCCAGATGAAACGAGATCGGACAAAATTGGGCGGGGCTATACCGAATGAGGCCCGTCTTCGACCACAGATGTACCCACGCCGTGCTGAAATTGAGCCTCCCAAGGATTGCATCCTCATTTGCTGTTATGTTGCCCCCATCATACTCAAGGACAACATCCCAAAAATAATTTCGAGCACCCGAAAAAGTGTCGAAAGAGTGTCGAAACAGTGTCGGACGAGCGTCTCCCAGGGTCCGTTACGTGAAAACCCTTGAGTTTTGGGGTGCCCTTCTGGTGCTCGAAATTATTCCTGGTGGTCAAGGCTAAAAGTAGGTTGGAACATCCAGACTAAAGGAGGTCGGAAAAAATGGGTACAATGCCCAACAGCAGTTCCTGTTCATTGTCGCGGCCTGTGTCCATTTGAGACAGGAGGCCGCCTGCCCAACAACGGCCGCTGTTGGTCTGGGACAACATTTGTTGCTGGGCATTGTACCCATTTTTTCCCTACCCATTTCGGGCGTCCGAAAAATGTACTGCGGGGCAGTATAACGGGCGGACCGGCTCAGGGGAGGGGAGCTCAGTGGGCCCCGGAAACGGCTGGGCCGTTTTTTCACCGTTTCCGAAAAAGTGTCCCTTGAAAATGGAAACAGGCAAAAAAACGGCGACCGGAAACGGCAGCAAAAACGGCTCCAGAAGAGCGGCAAAACGGAACCGGTAAAAAAACGGCGTCGGAGCCGGCAAAAGAACGGCAAAACGGAACTGGTAAAAAAACGCCCCTGTCGTTCCCAGGGCCCACTAAGCCCCCTCCCCCATCCTCTCTGCAACTACTCTCGGTGACGCTCAGGTTTGGTATTTGTGAGGTCTGCTTCCTTCGAGGACCTGGCGTGACGTGTGGAGGGACATGCTCACTGGATTGGTGCTCGTCTGATCTGCTGGCATCTGGTGAACACATCGTACGTTTGGTCCGAACTGTGTCTCGTCCTTCGACTTCTCGTTCGTCGAGTCGCTGGGGAAGCTCAAGGAAGGGCCCACTATAGGGAGGGGGGGGCATCGGCGGCACCTTTGAAGGGGAACTGGGACACACAAAGAAATACACACACATAAAAACATCCCCCATATTTTCCCATATTTTCTGGGTTTTTGTTTTCCCCCCCCCACTTCCCATATTTTTTCCCATATTTTCTGGGGATCGCCGATTCATTGTGTCTGTGTGCTTTTTCCCCTCCTGAACCCTTGCCGATATAGAGAGTCGGCGGCGGGCCCCTAGGGATAGCAGAAAGAAACCGCGCGCTGGCCCGGGCGGGGTGGGCCACCGGGCTCCCGCCGGCGACGAGATGGGCGAGTCGAGGTCGACGGTCAGGTCGGGCGCATCCCCCCGCAAGGAATTCTTCGACGAAAAATAAAAACAAATACGCCAAGAGTGCCCCCAAAGATGCCCCAAGTCCCCAGACAATTTTTTTTTTTTTTTTAACAACGTTTGAATACTCCCCCTGTAGAGGGACAGGCCCGACTTAAGTCGATGGACACCCCCTCTCTCTCTCTCTTCGGCGGTGGACAAACCTCCCTTTCGTAAAACTCCCCCTAGCGAACATGGCCTGGGACCGAAACCCGACGGACCCGGACCCGCAAAAATGACGGCCGCGACACCCCCTCGCGAACCGAAGGCGGCCAATTCCTTCATCGACGGGTCGGGGTAGGAGGTCTGTCCACCTCCGATGTCTCTCTCTCTCTCTCTCTCCCGGCATGCAGCAGCCTCCTGAAGCCTGTCTGCACGGAGGCCTGAGAAGGGGGGCCGGTGGAGGCCCCCAGAGGCCTCCAGAGATGTCCCGACCTCCTCAGCACCCCCCCCAAACAAAAAAATAGAAACAGCAAGCTGGCACGCGTGTGCTCCGCAGGCTCGGCGCACGCGAAGGCATCATCGGGGCCCCGGGGCCGATGGAGAGCCAATGCCCCGAGGAACGAACCTCTTTTTTCCCGAGCGCCCGACCCTCCTCGGGGGGAAGTGGCCGCCGAAGCCCGTCCGGACAAGCAGTCGTCGGGAGTCGGGTCCCTGGAGGAACGAACGATGGCGCGAGCACAACTGCCCCGAGCTCCGGTCCGATGTCTTGGACCGGCGCCGGCCCCCTTCCCTGGCGCGCGGAGCGCGACAGGGGCCCAGCGCCGACACAACAAAAACAGACGCCTGGAGATCCGAGCAATCGACTACGACGTTTGTTTCTCGAATCCGCAGCGCGCCGGGGGCCCTGCGCCGCTGCCCCGAAAAAACGCCCGGAGCTCCGAGCCGGTGGTTACGACATGTTTGTGGTGTGCTTTCGGGTCCCAGGGAATGGGTGGAGAGATCCTGGGACCCCTGCCCCCCTCCGAAACAGCAAAAAAAACACTGCATCCGAGGTCTGGGTGTGCTGCTGGCGGGGGCGACGGGTGGCGCAGGAAGACGGCGGGGGGCGAGCAGGGGCCCGGAGAAGTCTGGGAAGCGGGGGAGGAGGGACACGTCCCCCCTCCCCAGGGACAAAAAACTACCTCATAGCTCTGGGAGTGCTGTCCGCGGGGGTGGATGGTGGCGGAGGAGGAAAGCGGGGGGAGAGCAGGGGTGTGGAGAAGTCTGAGAAGTAGGAGGAGGAAGAGGAGGGCAGGGGGGAGGGCAGGGGTAAAGACAAGTCTGGGAAATGGGAGGAGGAACGGCAGCAGCAGGAGCACAGGAGGATCAGCAGCATGCGGAGGAGAAGAGCGGGAGGGCGAAAACGAGGGGTGGACGGGCAGGAGGGGGCAAGGGGCGGCGAGTTTCCCAGGCGAAGGAGCAATGTGGCAGGAGGGAGCAGCGCGCAGCTGCATCGTGCCAGAGGGTGGCCCGGAAGGAGGCCCCCGCCGACCCTCGCGTGCCGGTGGTGAACAGGCGTGTGGGACAGTTGTGAAGGGGCCCACAAACACACAAACAAATACACACAAATAAAAAGTTTCCCCATATTTTCCCATATTTTCTGGGTTTTTGTCTTCTCCCCCACTTCCCATATTTTCCAATATTTTCTGGGGGATCGAGGATTAATTGTGTCTGTGTGTTTCTTTTCTTCCTGAAGTTGGCTAACCCCCGTCCCCCCATCGGGGGCGCGCAAGCCTGGGTTAGCGATCCATGGATTTGGCGCGCGGTCGCCAAGAACATGGATCGGGGGAGGTACCCTCCCCACCATGCGGCCAGCGCCGCCTCGTGGGGCGGCGGCCATCCGCGATTTCCCCATGGAAGCGGGGGCCGTCGCTAATCCACGCCCCCTTGATTCATGTTTGCGATCGCCTGACCCTATGTCAATCTGCTGGGGTCCCGAAGCCCGAAAAAAGAAGGGGGGCGGGGGAGGGAGTGTCCCCTAACGAGCTCGTCAACGCATCTCTGGGGCTCCTGGAGCCTCCTCAGCCAGCCTGCGTCGCCTCCAGGATGCCCAAGATGCCATTCAAAACGGCTCCAGGAGGGCGCCGAGGCCCCCGAAAGGCCTCAACAGCAGCACACAAAATGACCTCAAGACGGCCCAAGAAGCCCCCAAGACGCCCCAAGCGAGCCCAAAGAGGATTCCCAAGAGAAGCTCAAAAGGTAAACTCGCAACGGACGCGGAGGAAGAAGAGGACGAATCAACAACAGTTACGCGCAAGGAGCAGGACGGGAAGCGGCAAACGACTCATACGAACTTGAAAACCGCACATCTCCTCTTCTGGGGGTCGTCGGGATGGCGTGATCCTCTTGAATAAGAAGCTGCTTGTGAGCAAGTGAAGCAAGACTGGGACGACACGGTCAGAGAATGAGGGGGAAGGGAACGAGAATGGGGAAACATGGGAGTATGCCTACGGAACGTGAGGTGGAGGGAGGGGGGGGGCAAGGCCGTCCGTGTACATCTGCGGCGCGTTAAAGTGGACCAAGAACGCCGTGGACAGAATGGAGACCAAAATGAGCATTCGCACGTTCGCCAGAGAATCTGTGGGTGCACCCGGCAGGGGTGGTGGTCGCACGAGAACGCAAGGCACTCACTGTTGGGAGATCTGACAATGAGACCTGAGGCTCGCTGTATAGACTAGCTGCGCTGGTCTTCGCATCCCTCTTCCTCTCTCTCTCTCTCTCATTCTCTCTCCCTCTCTCTATCTCTGCATCTCGGGATCTACTCGCCGCGCATCTGTGCAACTCACCTCTTCTCGATATGCATATCACTATCCCGTGCTCCGTAACTCACTTCGTCAATCTCTATGCTCATCTCCGTCCTCACCCTCGATCACCAATTTCACATTCAGAGCGATCCTGCTGCTGGTCACTTGTACGTTCGGGGTTGCCCCCCTCGTGTCCTGCACCGCTCCACCGCTCATTGCCCTGCCAGGGTAGCACCACAACCGCAAACGGCATAGGCACCCGAAATTGAATCTAGGAGCTGTGCCGTGGTACTGGCTGCAGCCATCGGGAGAGAGGATAAGGGCGGGGAGGAGGTGCCCGGGAATCTTGTGAGGAAGCGAAGGGCACGAATACCCCGTCGTGCCAAACCCTCTGGGCAGCCACCTGCAACCCGACGCTACCATCACCACGCCTCCTCGCGAGGCATTCGCTACTCCTTCTCCACCTGGTCCTCCTCCTTTCTTACCCTCATACCCTCCAAGTGTCCTTAGAGGGCAGAACATCCATTCCGATAATAACCACCCCGACACGCGAAGCCGTTCAGTAAACGAACCCATATAAGGAATCGAACAAAGCAAGGCTGTTTAATAAACGCCCACGGTCGTTTACTAAACGCCAATTGTCCGGTCTGGGTGGTTGTTCCTCCCTTGAGTCCTGGGACGCACGCCGGGGTCCTCCGAGGAGCGGCGAGAACCTCTGCTGATGCTTGCTGCGGGAGGCTGAGCCCTGGGCCACGCGAGCACTGATCCACCAAACGCCACCCCGCCTACCAAAACAACGTCTGGGAGCCATGCTTCCCCACAGGCCAAGCAGGAGCAGAAGGAAGATAGGCAGCAGGAGCAAGGATGACGAGGAGGAGCAGAAGAAGCATTGCGGTTCCCGCGGTGCCCAGCGGTAGGAGCGGCGCCGAAAGGGCGGCGTTGTAGAAGCGACCGCCGAGAGCATAGCTGCCGTCGAGGCAGCGCTTCCCAACGAAGAAGAGGACGTACGTCGTGGCCATGGTGCCTCGGGTGCGAGGGGGGTATCCGAGGCAGCAGTGATGGCAACCGTGCGCACAGGACGTTCGTGGCCGTGGCCGCGGGCGTAGTCATCGAGGTGCAGCAGGGGCCCGACCACACGACACCTTCCACAAGAAACCCATTCCTGAGACCACGGGGCGTCCAATGAGTTGTGGTGTGGGCACGTCGTGCCTTCCATAGGAGAACTATCGAGACCCAAGAAACTCAGGGCACCCTGGATAGGGGAGAAAACAAACCTACCTCGCTTTTGACCACCCTCGCTTCCAAGAGACACCAAACGATGCCACATTGCAGCCTGTACTGGTCAGGCCGCTTGACGAGGAGGCGCGTGGTATGGCTTGGTTTTGCCTGGAAGCGAAAGCGGGGCAGGTAATTCACGCTCTGAGTCGCAGGGTTATACCTTGGCTGTCTGCCCTCGGGGAGGCTTTCGGAGCCCCGGGGGCGGTGTTCCAAATTACTCCTCGGGCTTCGGCCCTCGGGGAAGGTTTTTGGGCCCTGGGGGCGGTGTTCCTGAATGTTGTCCAGTCTTCTGCCCTCGGGGGCGGTTTTCGTACCCTGGGGGGGCGGTTTTCCGAAGCGTTCCGAAGCATACCCGAGGCAAGCAGGGCGTTTCTTGGCATGGGCCTCCACGGTAGACCGGCAGACACACACACACACACACAGTGGCGCCACCGCGGAGAGCACGGCCAGCGGGCCGCGGCAGGATTCGCGACGGTGGTGGTGACGCCAAAAGCATGCAGCGATGGAAGACGACAAGCGGCACGGGCTGCAGAGGTGTCGTGTGAACGATGCGCGCGCTGTCAGAAACGGGCGAACGCAAGCAAGACCAGAAGATCACATCACCTGCAAGAGAAGAACACAGCACCTGCAAGAGAGCATCGCCTCTTCTGCTATGTGAACGGTGCGCGTGCACGAACGCGTGGTCGGTGCTGAATGCCAGAAGCCATCGGCGCTGGCATCACCCGGCTGGGAATGGCTAGATTGTCGGAGGGACGAGGGCACCTCCCAAGTGAGTCGGAGCTCCTGCACGCTGCAGGATCGAAGGAGCAGGAGGAGGAGTCGACGCAGCCTGTAAATAGGCGGAGGCGGAATCTTGTGGGAAAATGGACGGGGTGCCGTCGCAGCACATTGGCTGCGGTCCCGTCCCAACCAAACTCTCTTACACGCTGCAGGATCGAGGAGGGAGCAGAAGGAGAAGTCGACGCAGACTGGAAATAGTCGGAGGCGGAGCCTTTCGAGAAAGTTAAAAAAGGGTGCCGTCGCAGCACAGTGGCTGCGGTCCTACCCCAACCAAACTCTCTTACGCGCTGCAGGATGGAGGATAAAACAAAGGAAGAAGTCGACGCAGCCTGGAAGTAGTCGGAGGCGGAATCTTGCGAGAAAGTGAAATGAGTGCCGTCGCAAAACCATGGCTGCGGACCCACCCCAACCAATGTCTTGCACGCTCCGTCGCAACACCATGGCTGCGGTCCCAACCCAGCCGACTTTCCTTGAACGCTGCAAGATCGAGGAAAGAGGAGAAACTGAAGTTGACGCAACTTGGAAAAGACGAATACACATACTACAATGAAACAACCCACGGGAGTGCTGTCACAGCACCTTGGCTGCGTGCGATCCCACCCCAACACGTAACATTGCAATACAGGAGTGCGAGAGAAGAGAGAGAGGGAGAGAGGGATACATACACATACATATATCCATACGTGTATGTATATGAAAAACGGGAAAGGGAGAGGAATGATAAGTATATAGAAAGAGGAGGCAGAGAGAGCGAGCGAGAGAGAGAGAGAGAGAGAGAGACACTGAGAGGATGAGAGAGAGTGAGAGGGAGAGCGAAAAAGAAACAAAGAGACTGAGAGACAGAGAGGACGGATAGAAAGGGGGAGCAAGAGGGAGAGAGAGAGAGAGAGAACGAGGAGCCAGGGAGAGAGAGAGAGAGAGAGAGACAGGCGTGATCTGTCACAGTCTAGCAGCTTCAGTTGCATCTTGGACAAAAAATGCGAGACAACGGAGCAGGATGACATTCCAGCCCGAAGGATGCGGTCCCACCCCGTCCACGTCCAAACTCACTGCCCATTGTGCTCCCGAGCCTCTCCAGGATGCCGGCTACAGAATCGTCGACGAGCGAGACGTGTAATGACAACACATCAGTATTGCACGTGCTGCGCGCGAGGCCACACGGGGATGCCTTGAAGCGGCCCAGCGCGATCCTTGGCCATTTCGGCGGCCGTGGACATCGACGTCGTGCGTTTGCCTGCGACTCGGCCACCATCCTGGACAGAAAACACCCTTCAAGAACATGAGATCCTCCGCCAGCCAAAACACCCCAAACCATAACATCATTCGAGGGTGCCCTCCCTTAGGATGCGGAAAAGATATAACACTGACGAAGACCATGAAGGTACCCTCCCCGAGCCGACCTCGATCTTAAACTCTGTCCGACCGTACCGCCGTACCGTCAGGGGCAGTCAGGGGCAGGCGACGGGCTGAGAGACGTCGGGCGGAGCGTTTACATCGGGGGAACGCCCTCAGGCCCCCGACCACTGCTCATGGGGGCAGTTGAACATGTGCACCCCCAGGTTTGGCCCCAAACAGCGACTTGCCGTATGGAGTGCAATCTGTGTGGTGCCATCGGCGTGGCGCAACCAGTCTGCGTGGTGCGCTCGATACGGTGTAATTGTTCACCCACCTCGCAACATCCGCGCGCGACCACCTCCCACGAATGTGTAAACATCCAACCCGCCCACCCGCAACTTGTTGACAAACTCATACGGCCATGATCTCAACGAGCGCACGAGCGCGTGGAACTCAACCACGCAGACGAGTCGGTCCTCCATGTCGCGAAATGGTGGTGGCGATGGTGACGAGCCCGAGGCCAACGACGACGGCGATGACAGTGGCGATGACGTGGATGCAGATGGCAATGGAGGTGGATATCGGAGCGATACGATGTCGACGACGACATTTGTGATGGGGGTGAAGATGATGGTGCTGAGAATGACGGTGGTAACGATGACGCTGGCGATGATGATGACACTGGCGCGCATAAACTTGACGAGGGCAAAGACTTCAGAGATAACAGCGATGACGATGGTTCTACAGATTGTCCATTGTCATCTGAGTCCAGTCCGTGACTGCAATCTTCGACCGTGGATCACAACGGGACGTGATACGTCTCCTCGGTGTCGGAGTCGCGTGGGTGCCCCCACTCAGGCAGGTGCCCCCGCTGTTCTTCAGCTACAGTGATCAGCGCACTGTTGTCTGGAATCATCTGCGTGGGTACGGTGAAAAGATCCTCTAGCGGAGTTGCCGCCAATAGTTCCCTCTCGTCTTGTAGTTATGTATACCGCGCGTCCGTCATGTGCGCCTCGAGGTCAGCCTACGATTCCTTATATATCGTTGGAAGCCGTCCATCCTCCTGTGGTGGTTCGGCTTCTGGGGCTTCTCCTGTGGTCCCCAAACTTGGCCGCAGCCTGGTCCAAGCCTGCATGAGGTTTGGTGGACTTCAGGCACTGGGTGATTCCTGAATGTGCAGATCCAGTTATATCGTGAATGTTGAGAGCGGTGCCTTCTGCTTCATATTGGTGAAACCCTGGATTCACATCGCTGTCATATTGGACCAACGTGCAACTGTCAGCGCAAGCCACCGGAGGTAGCTCGTGGATACCCCCGGCTAACCTGACCGAAGCTACGTTCTCAACGCGGAAGAAGTTTCTGATGAGGCACTGTGAAACCAGATGTACCTTAGGAGATAATCGGCTTGCACTTGCCATCTGAAGCATCCCCTTCTTGGTCTGGACATAGCCAAATGTCGCGCAGGTCCCCCCGCAGGTACACTGGCCACGAGCGTCAACGCTGTCCCTGACGCAGCGCTGTCGGAGCCAATTTCTCTGGCTATCGAAACTCCTATATAGGGTGAATGCCGCGCATCGCCGCAATGTACCTGAACGTCACGGTTTCCCAATGATGACCTGACCCCTCTCGGGGTCGTTTCTTACGACTGGGAATGGGCCATTCCGGCCACCACAGTCGCCCTTCGCGGTTGCGGGGCGATGGTAGAACTCAATCTTCCTCATCGTAGTAATGCTGAGCGGCGATAGTTGTCTTAGTGCGCAATGCACGATTGGTCTCGGCTACTGCAGTGGCCTGCGTGATAGCTCCAACGCATGCCTTGCGTATCATACGCTCACGAGAATGATCCGACGTTTCCGTCGGCTGTTCGCGATCCAGGATAGGCAAGTCAGGGAGCATGGCCAGTTGCCGTCCACACAGGGCGTCGCATGGAGACACCTTATTCTAGAAGGTGAACGCGCTGGCGGCAAACAAGGCCTCATGCAGCCACATGTTGAGTACAGCTTCCAGGACATGAAGTAGATGGCGCAATATGTCACTTCTGCCTTCGATCGTCGCAGCGCGTTGTCCACGCGCACGTATCCTTAGCCCAGTGACCTTTGCCTTCAGGACTGACTTCGCAGCGTCGTTGTTGAGGGCGCCCTCTCCATCGGAGTAGAGCGCCTTTGCAGGTCCAAACTGCATCCAGCACTGATGGTACGCATCCAGGATGCTGGTCATCGTCTGGTCTGGTATCGCCATTCCAGTGGGACAGCGAATACAACGACCGATGATATGAAATAAAGTATGTTCTTGTTTGTAGAACATCAGGTCGCATTCAACTTCTTCGTTGACCATGCCAAGCAGCAATTTAGATGGCACAGTGGCTTGCCCAGGCTTGTCCCGACACGTGTCGCAGACACCTTTAATCAGGCTGAGTCTGACACTGTCCAGACCTATCTTGGTTAAGATGAGTTTCGTCGTGGGCACTTTCGCATAGAACCAACGCAAGTGCAGCGTCCACAGTTCGCGCGTTACCACGCCTGGGTCAAGGCTTCGTACGTTTTGTAAACTGTTTTGTGCGTCGAACATTGACCAGTCTGAAGTCGCGGTGGTGCAGCAGGGTTACCCGCTGGTGGCGGCGGAGGTGGATCTCCTCCTTGCTGTCGGCCACATCTGACTCTGAGCTGTGGCAGTCGGACGTGGCATCCGATCTCCCAGCTCCACGCGTGGCTGGTTGCCCTGCAGCAGGTTGTCTGCCTACTGTAATGTCGTGGCTGCTGACGCCCGCTGTGGGTCTGTTTCTAGAGCCGGGTCTTGGTGCTCGTAGCCGCGCCAATGGTGGTGCGGCCTGTGCCCCTGGCGGTGGTGCCGCTGGTTCGGCAGGAGCCTGCGGTGCCTGTCCGTGATTGTCGGGCAGCTTCCAAAGTTTGGCAAACTTGAATTTGCCAGGTGTCCGTACTTGTCCAGGCTTTTTCTGGCAGTAGTGCTTCTTGCAGCTCAAAGATTCCCAATGCTAGTCTTCCTTATCACACCACCTGCAACTCTTGGGGCTTCTGTCGTGTGAAGGAGAGCGCACGTTAACATTATCCGCGCACGCAGGACATCCTAGCCCTCCCGAGGGCGGTCTCGTGATCGATCCGTCGGGTTGCCGAGGGATAGTGGGATCGTCCAAATCATATCCCCTCACGTTGGTGACTAACACGGTGGAAGAATAATGATGATCATGAAAGGGATCACGGTTTACCTGGAATAGATCGTGCGCGATCTGAACTGCGTCGACGAAAAGATAATGCATCTTTGAAGTATAATGTGCAGCCATGGACAGTTCTTTGTTACATACCGACGCATGTTGATGATGACCAGCGCGTCGACTTCGTTCAAGAGGTGTAGATAGAAAACGGTGGTTGGCCATGGTCTCGGTCGGTTTTCGTATCAATACCCCCGGGGAGTCACGTCAACAGTCAGTACATAGGTCCATATTCACCTTGCAAGTGCCCTTGCCTTTGGCCAATGTGGTCCATGGTGGTATCTGATCCACCCAAGTACCCACTGGTTGTACTCGTAAGCAAAGCCGTCGAATATCGTTCTGACGTATGGCAACCTCTTCACAAAACTTGATATGTGGAATATTTTCTTTGTGGTGTTCACGCCAAGTATCCAAGTTGACTTGGGAATTGAAATGCGAAGGTAGCCCAGCCGTTCTGCAGCTGGGTTGCAGTATGACAACATTGACGAAGCAAACGTCTACGCAGTGCATCACTGCATTCTGGACATCCTTGTTCCCAAGGTCAACATAAGAGCGTGTGTCTAAGTTTCCCCGGAAGACAAACCTCGGCTGAATGCTAGCTGCGATATGCCTCCACTTCCTCTACACAAATCTAACATGTCAACCTTGTAGCCCCGCAAGTAATGTGATGACGGTTTCCTCTTCATCATCACTTGCCGTCTCCGAGTGAAGGGGAACGTCGGTGTACTACGCACTACATCCGAGACCTTTGAGGTCATCCCCACAGTCGCCGCTGCCTTCTTCGACTACCTTGGGTTCCTTGCGTGGTTTGATGCCCCCTTATTTGTCGGCTTCCTGTTTTTTATTATTGTTTGATGCGGGTATCGGTCGGTAGGGCTGTCTTTTGTTCAATATCAGGTGAACTTAGCGTCGGCAATTCGGGCATCACAGGGAGCACGCGGCCACGCTCAATCCGAGGGGGGGGAGACGATCGTCATCGACGAACGCAACTCGCCTTGGGCGTGGACGTGGATCCTCCTGTCCGACGAGAGCCGTTTCTGGCGGTTCCCAGCATAACCGAATACGAATGTTGTTACACCATTCGGTAATGGTGCATTGAAATTGTACCCGATAGGCTGGCCTTGGATCTTGGTGTTTTGTACAATCTGATTGTCGTCCAGGTTCATCGTTACCCGTCTTACGACATACCCCATTCAGGGCCATTCTTCGGAAACTGAACGTAAGTTCGAGTTCCTTTATCCACTCGCGTGTGAATGCTAAGGTGTACAGCACTCGCGCGGTTTCTCTTAAATCCGTTTGGTAAATCAATCTCGTTGTCATCATAACCGATGTTGTGTTGCGCCACTATGCCTTCTGAGCGTCTTGGCCGTACCTGTCCAATTCGTCCTCAGCAAATTGGGCAGGCCTCCCTGCAGTTTGACACGCACATATCCACAAGTTGGTTGGGATGCGTGTGTAGGTAGTTGCCACTTGCAGATATGGTCAGCTAGGCAACTTACTTGAAAGGTCGTATTCAAGACCGAACAGCAGAATGAGCAGACCGCCCTGCAGATACGTTGGGTTCAGGGTGGCGCCATGTTGGCAGACGGCCTTACGAAGGATCGCGCGGCAAAGGTCTTGCTGGAACCCCTCCGTTCAGGAGAGCACTCGAGGTTAGTGGGCGAGAATTTACATCGCAGTGACTGGAAGCGCAAGACGATGCGCTTGGATGGACTGGACCATGGCAAGGCACTGACCGATAAAGCTAACGAAGCTATGCTGGAAGTCCTGGTCGAATTCGCCCGCGACAATCCCGACGAGCAGAAGAACCCTGCTGGAGAGTTTGCCCTGTGGGGCACGGTGAAGCAATTCATGCGCCCTGTGCTCTCTGTGACTTCAGGAGTACAGGGCAGGCCTCAATGCCGTAACATGAGCATGCAGCTCACAGCCCAGAGCCTGCCTATTACGACAGATGGCCTCTAGAGGCCGAGCGTGAGAGTTGCTTCGGGCTCGAAAGGACGCTACCTTTCTGTTGACCCGCGTTTCACGGCGTATCGTGCTTCCCAGTTATTATCAGCCCGGTCATGTTTCATGGTCTCCCCGGGAATCCCCGGAGAGCCCGCATGCCCGAGAGGCAACAACTATGTACGTGTCACATGTTTGCAAGACGTGCCCTCCCAGAACCGTCTTGGCCAAAGCCTTTGCAGCGTCACAGGGACGCTGGACTTTCTGGTGAGCGCCTGAAAAACGCTGGATAGCGTGTCGGCCCGCTACCAAAGGGCTGCCTTCCATCACCATCGTGCTGCCAGCGCGGCATATCCACTGCAAGATCGAACCTCCCAGACATCAGCATCAAGTGCATCAGCGACGTTTAGAAAATAAAGGAGACCAGCATCAGACAGAGACTATCAGGGCAGTGGTCTTAGCGGTACCACTGTAAAGATAGCCACAAGGTGGCCCCGAGAGGCCCCCAAGAAGCCTCCGATGGGGGCCAGACGGCGCAAGAGCGTTCCAAGACGGCCCACTAGGCCTCCAAAAGGCCCCAAAGAGGCCCTCGATGGGGCCTTCAAGAAGCATCCAAGAGGCCCCCAAGAAGCCCCCAAACAGGCCCACGAAACCACCAAGACACCCGCGGAATGAGATACGAATGACGCGCTGCAGCGATGCTCACCTGAGTTTGAATATGGCGTTGCCTCGTGCCGACACGCCGACACGCGGCGAGTGCCCAGCGCCCACGTGGACATTCGCACGCTCGTCCTGGCGCTGAAAAAGGGGGGGGGGATGGGGAAGCGCATCTGCCCCCCGTGGCACTGGCAGCGCCCCCGGGGCGGGCAGATCGACAGGCCAGGACTCCGCGGCAGAGGAGCAGAGCAGACCGCCCACCGCCCAACCTTTCGCGTGCTCGGGCCGCGCACCCCGCAAAGCGAGAGGAATCCACGTCCAGGGCGCGGCGTGCTGAGCGGCAGCGTTCTGTGAAAGCTCAAATGCAATAGATCCAGCTTGTCCAATCGTACTTAGCATCCCATGTCACATGATATCCTACTATCTTATATCATGACGTAACGCCCCTAAACCCTCACCGGAGTCACGCGACATCCACAGACCCAAAGATGGCGGACCCTTGCGGAGCTCGAAAGCGCACAAAAACTGCTAGAGAATCAATGGTTAGGCTGCCTAAACTTGCCCCAAGAGGGCCCAAGGCCCAAGCGGTCCCCAAGATCGTCGAAAGGCCTCCAAGACAGCTCAAGAGGCCACCGAGACGGCCCAAGAGGACCCCAAGAGAGCCACAAGGCGGCCCCGAGAGGCCCCGAAGACGGCCTCCTGAAGGGGCCAGACGGCGCAACAGCGCCCCAAGACGCTCCAAGAGGCACCCAAGAGACCCCAAGAGGCACCAAAGATGCCCCCAAGAGATACCAAAGAGGTCCCCAAGAGGCAACAAGGGGCCCCAAGAAACCTCCAGGAGGCTGCCAAGAAGCCCCCTAACGGCCCCAAGAAACCACCGCGTCCGCTCTCCAGGGCTCTGGCAGCGCCCCAGGGCGGGCAGAACGACACGGCAGAAACTTCGCGGCAGACGAGCGGGGCAAACCACCATACGCCCAATCGCTTTACGCGCTCAGGACGCGCACCCCGCGAAGCGAGAGAAATCCGGGAAATCTTGAAGTCTTGGAACATATCATTGTCATGGCCGCTTGCTCTTCTGACCAATGGAGCTTCAGAGAGGGTGGTGCATGGGCCAGGCGGGGCCTGGATGCGGCACGCGGAAACGGCTGGCGTGCACGAGTTCCCCCGAGGGCCAGAACCCAGTCGGGTGCAAGCACGGCTTCCTGGGAGCACGAGCCCACACGAGACCCTAGAGAAGGCCTCAGAGGGCCCTCAGACACACCCCGGAGTCCCGAAAGGCCGCCTCCGAGGCCCCCAAGAGAAGCCCCCCAGGACATCCGAGGGGGGCCGGCGGAATGGAGCAAGCCTCTCGAGCAGAAGAGAGCCAGAGGCGCAGGAACGAGTGCCCTCAGGCCAGCGCAGACTCTGCAGCACCCCCCGCCCGCAACCGGCAGCCCCGGGGCCCTCCCAGGCAAGCCCTCGCGTCACCCGCGCGAGACCCGTGGGAAGCGCGCCGCGCGCCGAGGGGAAGCAGACGAGCAACAGGAGGAGGAGGAGGAGGAGGAGGAGGAGGAGGAGGAGGAGGAGGAGGAGGAGGAGGAGGAGGAGGGAGGAGGAGGAAGAGGAGGAGGAGGAGGCTGATGCAGAGAGCGCGCCTAGCGCCGAGAACTTTGCGAGCGAGCCGAAGGACCTCAGGCAGCAGAGGGGGTACAGCACCACCGCCTGGCCCAGCCCAGCAGGGGGCAGGCTAAAAACATGCGGACAGAGAGAATGTCAGTCTTCATGTGGCCAGCAAAAATCAATGGCAAGTGGAGATCTTAGAGTTCAGCATGCTGGATGAGACCCAGGGCTCATCACTCTCCGTTAGGCGTCCAGCACGACGTGCAGTTCGAAGGGTCACCAATTCCTCCCTTTGGCTCGTAGACTCGCGAAGCCCTCTCCCTGGTGGGAAGTCGAATCTCACCCTGAAATCTGCCCCACTGGACCCCATACAGCCGCAATCGCAGGATGAAGATGGCCAGGGAGGCAATAAACAGCTGCTGCAAATGCCTGCACTGACGACGAGAGCCGTGGCTGGCTTCTGACTCCGTGTGAACCGTTCGACCTTGAACGATCTCCGTCCGCTCTCGGATACCCCAAGAGGTCGCCGTGAATCGTTTCCTGCGTAGGAGGAGGAGGAGGAGGAGGAGGAGGAGGAGGAGGAGCCTGGAGGAGGAGGAGGAGGGGAGGAGGAGGAGGAGGAGGAGGAGGAGGAGGAGGAGGAGGAGGAGGAGGACATGGGTCCTGGGGCCGAGCGCATGCCACCCCGAGGGCATCCAACCCTGAACGCCCGCGCCCGCGCCGCCGCCGGTCGAGGCCGCGCGGCTCTGCCGCAGAAACAGCTGGCGGGCTCTGGGAAACATTCGGCGGCGAGCGGTTGGGGGAGGTGAGAAGGAGCGAAGGCCTCCTCAGAAGGCGGCGGGGCCTCTCAGAAGGCCTCCGGCCTCCCCGGAGGCTGTGCACCTCTTCGGGGAAGGGCCAGAAACTTCGCAGGAGGGCCGGGGGACTGCCGAGCCTTCTGAGAAGGCCCGCCCCTTCTCGTTTTCTTCCCTCGCTCGCCGCCGACCCCTGCACACACACACATACACATACAGTCGGGGCACTGAGGAAGGAACCCTTTTCGTTGGGGAGGGGCTCGGTGTTCCTTAGTTGTTTTGCAGTTCGCCTTTGGTTTTGCTTCGGGCTTCGATGGGAAATCGAAGTTAAACTTATGGGAAAAAGAGGCCTCGTTCCTTATTTAGGGTTCCTTAGGTCAACGCCCCTTCTGTACGTACACATACACACACGCGTGGCCATCTCTAGAGTCTCTCGCAGGCGCATATCTTACTTCCCCCGCCTCCACGTAGCCGCCATCGCTTAGTCTCCGCCGGCTTCCGCCACCCCTCTGCTTGGGACGAGGTGCCGAGTTCCATGTGATTCTCGAAGCCAGGACCCTTTCTGAAGCGCCTCTAGAATCGGGCGAAGTCTGGGTAGCTCTCGATGGGCCTCGACACCCTCAAGAACACTACGACTGGGGCTCCGACCAGAGATGCGGCACAGGGCGCCCGTCGAGATCCCAGCACGGTCTTTGGATGCTTTCTCGCCCACTGAGCGCACAGAGCTCACACATCTGAGGACATGTCGGTTGAACTTGAGCCCTGTCCACTGTCCATGCACTGTTCCACCCGACTCCTCCTTCTCCTCCTCCTCGTCCTCCTCCTCCTCCTCCTTCTCCTCTCGCTCCTCCTCATCCTCCTGGCCCTCTTCGTACACTCTCCTGGTGATGCCCCTCTTAATGCGTGTCCAACTCCTTCTCCTCCTCCGAGCTTCGAGATGCAGACCTATTGTTGTCGGAAGAGCTGTGGCCATGGCCTACTCCTGCTCCTCCTCCTGCTCCTCCTCCTCCTCCTCCTCCTCCTCCTCCGCCTCCTCCTCCTCCTCCTCCTCCTCCTCCTCCTCCTCCTCCTCCCTGGAGGCCAGCGCTCACACTCTGCCTCATGCCGCGCCGCCGCAGAAGTGGGGGGCAGCCCGCCGAGGCCGCCGCGCCCCGCCCTGGCGCGCCTCCCGAGGCGCCGAGGGGGCCCGCCTCGCGGGCGGGAGCTCCGTGCCCAGGGCCTCCAAGGGAGCCCCACAGAGAGCCCCGGGGGAGCCCCGGGAGAGGCCCGGGAGGACCCCGCCGTGGCCCAGGGAGGGCCCCACGGTGGGTGGTGCCCAGGAGGGCCTTGGGAGACCTGCGGCATGGAGCCGGCAGGGCCCTCCCGCGATGGCTCCCGGGGGGGGCCTGCCCCTCTCGCTCTCTCTCTCTCCCCTTCCCTTCTCTCCCCGCCGCCTTCCACACTCCTCCCCTTCCACACTCCACCTCCTCCTCCTCCTCCTCCTCCTCCTCCCTCCTCCTCCTCCCCCCTCCTCCTCCTCCTCCTCCTCCCCCTCCTCCTCCCCCTCCTCCTTCACATCCTCCTCCCTCCTCCTCCTCCTCCTCCTCCTCCTCCTCCTTCACATCCTACTGTTAATGTCTCTTGCTGCCCATTGCACGCTGGGTCGGCGGCACCGACCATGAGTCCTTCGCAATCCTTATCTGGGTCCTCGCGGGCTGTACCCCTGTGCCACGACACCGGGGAGCTGACGCATTTTCCTTCTTGTTCGTTGAGGCCCCGCGCGGAACGTATCCATGCGACCGCGTATCCACGGGATCGCACCTCGGAGTCCCGACGGCGAGGGCGTGGATACAGATACGTTCGCCACGCGTGACGATCAGCGATCCCCCCCCCTGGATCGAAGGGGGGGCCACCGCGATGGCGACGATGAGGGTGGACCTCGCCGCCAGGAACGCCGGCACGCCGCCCACGCCGGCGAGCAGTCCCGAGAAGACGTCGCCCAGCACCATGGCGTAGACGACGGAGCCGCCGAGGCACTCCAACACGCAGACCTGGGGGCTGGTGACCAGGCCGCCTGTCTCTCTGTAAACAAAATCACGGCGGAGGGCGTTTGCTCATGACTCATGTTCGGCCTCCGGGGACCTCACCGACCGGCAACAAAGACAACCAGGGATGAAGCATCGATCCCAGGGAACGGATCCAGACCTCTGGGGGCCCCCGTTGTAAAAAACAAAAAAAAACGACGGATGCGTGGCTTTTTCGTTCGACGAGTGCGCAGCAACATGTATGCCCCCGTGAAGCTCGACCCAGGGGCAGAAACAGCAATTTGTCCGATGCACACTGCAGCTCCTGTCCTTTTCGTACGAAGCACCGCCCTTCAGAAAGGACCCAGGAGGCGGTGAATTCTGGATGGTGTGCTCGGCCATGGTGGGGCCCGAAAGCATCTGCATCTGAGCATCACTTCACCGATCCCTATCCACACCGGCGTATCCTGGGCCCCGCTGGCCGATTCCACCCCCTCTAGATGGGGATCTAGGCTGTTCCCTGCGGCTTCTGAGGGGCGTATCCACACCTGGGATGGGTTGGGATGGCGGGAGACCGGGATGGGGGTGGGCCTGGGGATGGGGATCGGCCAAGCGATGCTGAGCAACCACTGCCTGCCGGGCTCCTCGGGGCATGCTGGTCCTCCGGGCGGCGGCCGTGCAGAAAAGCTCATGAAACCTCGGGCGAGACGCGGCGGCGCGCCGATTCGGGGGGGGGGGCGGGCGAGAGGGCCGGCCTATTGTCTAGAAAGGCAAGGGGGGGTCCTGGAGGGGGCCGGAAGCTTCTGCAAGAGGGCTCCCCCGAAAGAGACAGGAGGGGAATCGTGCGGAGCCCTCGGCCTCAGGAGGGCAGGAGGGCAGGACGGAGAACATCGGGGTTCCCCGACGGGTTCTCTGGGAGGGAGGGCGAGGTCAGGAGCTGTTGCACAGCGTGTCGCGGCGGCAGCCCTGGCGACAGGCTGTGCCTTGCGAGCAGGTAGCGTCTCCTTCCGCTCCGCGGGACGGGGGGCTGGGAGAGGCTTGGGCCGTTCACAGCTGCGGATTGATGGAACGGTTGGCACGTCGCGCCAAAGCGTGGTGGGCAAAAAACCGCCGACGCGACACGCCGAGCCAAAGTTCCTGACCGCAGAGCGGAGAGAGGGAGAGAACGAAACCGCGGGCAAGGATGACGTGCCTACGACCTGCGCCAAGTCAGACAGGGTACTGGACTGGCAGCTGGATATATAGAGGTTCGCCTGCAGCGGCTTAAGCAACGACGGGGGGGGGGAACGCGAACGGGAAACAGGTTCAGGCCCCCGTGGGGCCCCAAATCTGGCCGAAGTCGGCGCGGGCCCCCGAAACGACGAAAGCATGAACGGGCTCTCTTGTTGTAGCGCAGTGCAGCCCACCGCGTGCTGTTCAACCGTTTCCACTTTGCTGGCGGTGCCATGTGGAAGACGAGTACGTTGAGCTCTGAATAGCGACTGTGAATCATACGCCCCTCCTCCCAATCCTCCCCATCCTCCTCCTCCTCCTCCTCCTCCTCCTCCTCCTCCTCCTCCTCCTCCTCTTGATCCTCTTCCTCCTCCTGCTCCTCCTCCTCCTCCTCCTTCTCCTCCTCCTCGTCTCCACTACACCTTGTTTGTTTCAGACGTTTCCCGTCAAGGCTCGAACATTCAGAAGTCCCCGCAGAAGCCGGTTGAGGATGGGCAGGTCTTGCCTCGAAGCTTCCTCGGGCCCTCGGGCAAGAGGTCCCGCTGCTCGGCGATCCCCTCCTTTTCGTCCTCCCCGTCTGCCCTCTGGCCTCTCGTGCCTCGGAAAACTGAGGGGAGAGCGCTCGTCCGCGACTCGCGACGCGGGCGCTGCTGGGCAAGCTGACCGTAGAGGCCGATTTTCGGATTTTCGCACAAGCACGCGTGGGGCGAGCGGCTCTTGCAGGCGCCCGGCTGAACTTGCCCTCCCCCGCAGAACGCGCCAGGCCGCCCAAGAGAAGGGGAACCGCAGCTCGGCCGCCGTGCCTGCCAGCGACTCGATCGGCGATAGGCCCCATACAGCGAATTTGCATGCTCCTGTCGGGCGTTGGCAAAACTGGGGTTAGTGAAACCTGGTTCAGTGATGTGTACTGGGGGACGCCCACCCCGCCCCGTTCCACTAACCGGAAGTACCGTCACCCGGAAAAACACCAGCTACGGCACACCCGGTTTAGTGATTCTGGCCAATTCAAGGGCTCCGGGGCCCTACCACTAACTGGGTCCCTTTATCTGGGGTCCACTAACTGGGTCCCTTTATCTGGGGTCCTGGCTATACCCAATCCTGGGCGGGGTGGAGCCGTCAGACCCCTACCGGCAACCAGTAGGAGTTGGGGCCGATGTCCCCCCACCCGCGTCGGCCTATCCGCACTGACGTTGCCCCGCCGCTGTCTTCGGGCCATAACATCGCACTGCGCTCGGTCGCGAAGTGAGTGTGCACATGTGAACGCAATCCCTCTCCCTGGACCTCCACGACGTACGCGAGAACGCAGTAGCGCACAGCAAGGACATGGAAAGAGTGGAAGACGAGGAACAACTCGACTGCACTGAACACGACGAGGGGCGCGACGATGAAAACGCAACCACAACTTGTTCAGCGATCACTATTGCTTGAACTGCTCGTCAGTAGGTGGCGTTCTGCCTAGGAGTGGCCTCCTGGCAGCAGCCGTACCTGGGGCAGACGATGTCGCGGTCGTGGACACCACCAACCCCGTAGGAGTGCCTTCCTCCTCCGCCGCGCGCAGCGTCAAAATGGCCGCGCGCCCCGCAACACCTCCTGCGCCACCGTCGCCTTCTGCTTACGCTCGGCGCCTGCACGCTGCACAGTGTGTGTGGCGGTGGCCGCGTCGGTGTCTGCTTGGCTCGCTATGAACGCCGCGATCTCCACACAGCGCGGGCCACGCCCACGATGCTGATCTCGCCACCCAGCGCGTCCGGGGGGGGGGGGGGGGCGTTGCGCTCCCGCCGCCGCCGCGCCCGCCGTGGCCGTCCGTCGTGGCCGGGGGCAGGTGGGCCAGTGCCAGGGCCATGCCGTTATGGCTCCCCCCATCTCTCATCTCCCAAGGCCTGGCCATCTCCAAGCAGAAGATGAGGTGCATCCCGCTCGCAAACTCCACCATCACCGTCTGGCGGGACGCCCGCGGGCTCAGCACCAACTTCACCAGCTAGCGGACCTCCACCCGGGCCGCCAGCGAGCGCGCCTCGGAGCGCCTTGCCGAGGAGGGCGAGTTGCTGGCCGCGGTGGCCCACGATCTCGTCGAAGGGCTTGGATGAAAAGCGCCACGCGGCACTGCGCCCACGCGTGCCTCGCGCGGCGCTGGGCGGCCGTCCGATTCGGCAGGCGGGCGCGCCACCGCTGGGGCTCCGGCTCCGTCGCGACCCGGAGGGCGCGGGACGAGGCGCGGAGAGAGGGCACGGCGGCCGCGAGGGCCGCGGGCGGATCGCGATCGCCGTGTGGGCGCGGGCGCGGCAGCCCAGCCTCGGGCCGGGGGCTGGCAGCTGGGAGGACGAGGGGGCGCGCAGGGCAGCACGGGGCCCGCCGAGGCGAGCCCGCGGAGCTCCTGGCACGCCCGCGGCGCCGGGGCGGCAGCCGGGCGGCAGCCGGGCGGCAGCCGGGCGGCAGCCGCGCGTCTCGGGCATCGACGCGCCCTGGGGCATCGAGCGCCCGCTGCCCACCGCCGGCGGTCGGGCGTGCGCCGCAGGTAGAGCGGAAGAGCGAGGAGGGGCTGGCCGCAACCGCGCGCGCGAAAAGGAAGGTGGCGACCTGCTAGAGAGTCAGACGCAAGCACGGTCAAGAGGCGCCGGGGGAAGAGAGGAGAACAGGAGGGGGGAAAAGAAGCGGCGCGGAGGAGAGAAGGCGAGGAGTAAAACGCGATTCAAACGAAACGTCGTCCGTGGCAGCTGCAGGCTGATAGCCTCCCTACGCGCGGCGAGGGGAGGAGGACCGAGGAGGACGAAGGGGGTTGCTGGCCGCGGAGCAAGCGCAACCGCGGTTCCGCGGCAGCGTGGCTGCGGAGCGCGCGGGCCACGTCTGCATACGTGGAAGCAGGACTCGGAGGCCTCAGGTCCGTCCGATCACCAGGAATGACGAGGAGGAGGAGGAGGAGGAGGAGGAGGAGGAGGAGGAGGAGGACAAGGAGGAGGACGAGGAGGGGGAACCTTAGCGGGGAGATCGGAAGCGACAGCGAGCATATGTTTCACGAGCTCGAACTAGTTTGCCCCTCGTCGAGGCCACGGCCTTCACGCCATGCCTTCACGGGCACGGGCGAACTGCCCTGTGGAGCACGTGCGAAACGCCAGGGGGGGGACTTGGCTCACGGGAGGAGGCGTGGACCTGGCATCGGCGATGCGTCGCCGGTGGATCGGCGGCAGGGCTCCGGCAGCGAGCCTGCAGCACCCCCGGTGGGCCGTCGGGCCCCCATCGGCGAGGGGAAGGGGCGGCCTGGGAGCAAAGGGGCACCCCGACCCGATGCCCAGCCCCATGTCCCCCGAGGCTGTCCCAAAGGAAGGGCGTGGGGAAGCGGCCTCCCCCCCCCCGTCCCCCCCCCCGACCGCGTCCCCCTCCCCCCCGACTCTGCCCCCCCCCCCCCCCACGATCACTGTTCCCTATTAATCAGCACCCCCCCTCCCCCCCAGGCGACAGGTAACCAACCCAGAACCATGCGGCACCCCCCCACCATCCCTTGCAAAAAAAACATACAACACACACACACTCTGCCTCCAACTTCGGAGCATGCGCAGCAAATCGGATGCGGTCTCCCCCACCATCCCTGTCAACAAAATATGCAGAGTACACTTGGCGGCGGCGGCGGCGGCGGCGGCGACGGCGGCAGCGGCGGCAGCGGCGGGCAGCGGCGGCGGCAGCGGCGGGCAGCGGCGGCGGCGGCGGCGGCGGCGGCGGATTGGCCCCCAGTAGCTGCCCATCCAAAGACGACTGCTGAATATGCTGAGGCTCGGGCCAGACTCGGGCGCTACGTATGTGTTGGGAGGGCGGGTTGGAGTGAGCGAGACGGCTTGCGGGCGGAGAGGGAGTCTTGACCCTATCCCGACCCTGTCCCCCGACCCTATGCGCCCCCCCCCCCCCCCCGACCCTCCCCCCCCCCCCCCCCTCCCGACCCTATCCCGGCCCCCCCCCCCGACCCTATCCCGACCCCCCCCTCCCCCCCTCGACCCGAGGAGGGGTGTGGGAAGGCAGTCTGCCGCGGGCGGAGGAAGCCGCCCGCGGACGGCCGAAGCTTACGCTCGTGTGTGATCTGCGTTGGACGAGAAGCCAAGGACCGACCCCAACCATGCTTTAAACAACATTGCCGTTATAACCAGCAACACAAAGAAGCCGAACGTTTAAAGCGAACGTCTGGAACGAAACTGCTCCCATACGAGACGAAACACGAAACGAGGCGTTGAAACCAAAAACGAACAACGACGCGAACCAAAAACTACGAAACACAAAACAGAGGCCCAAACCAAGCTGAACAGCGCTGTGGTCGGTCTTTGGACGAGGAGGATGTCCTGGTGCGGTAGACTCAGGGCACGTTCCAAGAATTCGGGCGTACATGGAGGCCGTCGTTCCTGCAGCCCGTGTGGAGCGTCACGGCTTCTTGGAATTCCTGGGTATCTTTGACATCCTGGAACGCCTCATGAACATCGCCTCTTACTCTTCTGCCCGTTGTGTCTCTCCCCACCGTCCCAGACGACCAGCAAGACCAGCGTCCCAGTCCAGGCGCCCGAAAATTACACATGTGTGATCCGTTTGGGGAGGGCAGAGGGTACCGATACCGCCAATCCCCTGGGCCTCTCCAGGGGCGTCTTCTGACCGGGATTGCGAGGCGAGTGCGCTGGTGCCGACGAGGGAGCCGCAGCGGTATCGGCACCTGCTCCTCCTCCTCCGACTGCGGTGTCGTTCTTGCCGCCGCCCCGAGATGACCAGCTGGGGCACCCAGGCGCCCCGCCGCACCGTCTTCTCCCAGGCGGAGCCGAACGTGGAGGTGCCAGTCTCCGCGCAGACCTTTGAAGGGGCCCTAAGACACACAAATAAATACACACAAATAAAAGGATCCCCCATATTTTCTCATATTTTCTGGATTGTTGTCTTCCCCCTCACTTCCTATATTTTCCCATAATTTCTGGGGAATCGAGGATTAATTGTGTCTGTGTGTTTTTTCCCCTCCTGAACCTTGCCGATGAGCCAGAAGCCGTAGGCGCCGAGGAGCGCCGCGAGCAGCACCAGCACCACGGACGGCCCCACCGCGGCCGCGCTGATGGATCGGTGGTCCAAAGATGGGGCCCTCTGGGGTGGGGACCCAGAACATTAGGAAAGGACGGGATCTTCATCGTCATCGTCATCGTCATGCTTATGGTCGTCGTCCTCATCATCACCGTCACCATCACCATCACCATCACCATCACCATCACCACCACCACCACCACCACCACCACCATCATCATCATCATCATCATCATCATCATCGTCATCATCATCATCATCACCATCACCATCAACATCACCATCACCATCACCATCATCATCATCATCACCATCATCATCACCACCACCATCAGCATCATCATCAGCATCACCATCATTATCATCATCGGCACCACCATCATCACCGCGACATCAGTAGCATCATCATCCCCATTGCATCAGCATCATAATCATCATCAGCAGATGCACCATCACCATCATCATCATCATCATCATCATCATCAGATGATCTTCACCATCACCATCAGCATTATCACCATCATCATCAACATCACCGGCACCATCACCATCACCATCATCACCATCATCACCAGTACATCAGCAACACAACCATCATCAGAAGCATCATCGGCATCACCATCACCGTCATCATCAACATCACATCCATCATCATCACTATCAGAGTCATCATCATCATCATCATCATCATCAGCAGCAGCAGCATCAGCACAACCATCATCATCACCACCATCACCCCCACCCTCACCCTCATCCTCACTATCATCCTCATCCTCATCCTCGCCCTCATCCTCATCCTCATCCTCATTATCGTCATCAGCATCATCAGCATCATCATCACCATCATCATCATCATGAGCATCACCATCAACATCATCATCATCAACATCATCATCACCATCACCACCACCATCATCACCATCACCATCACCATTCTCAGCAGCAGCATGATGATGATGATGATCATCATCATCATCATCGTCGTCGTCGTCGTCATTATCATCATCATCATCACCACCACCACAGATCACCACGATCATCGGAGGGTGGATGCCTGCATGGCTCGAGGCGCCTCGTCCGTAGGGCCCCGCCCCTCAGGACCCCCACCCTCGAGCCACCGGCTGGAGAAGGCCGCGACGCCGCTCGGCAGGCTCAGGATGCCGGAGCCCACCAGGTTCTTGGCCAGGTTCAGGCTCGCCGGCACCGGCCCGGTCTCCACGAGCTCGCCGCCCTCCGCGGGCGCGGAGGCGCGCCGCGACCGGAGCTCCCGCCTCGGCGGGGGAGCGATGATCATGGGGCGGGGGGGGGGGGGGCGGGAGGCTTCGGCCTGAAATCGGCGAGATACCTCGCCTCCTCCTCCTCCTCCTCCTCCTCCTCCTCCTCCTCCTCCTCCTCCTCCTCCTCCTCCTCCTCCTCCTCCTCCTAGGCGCGCCGCGACCGAGGCTTCGGCCTGGAATCGGCGAGATACCTCGCCCGTATCGGGGAGGCGTGGGACTCGGGCTCGGGGGGCGCGGGTTGGCCCGACGGGGCCATCACGAGAACGACGGGACCCAATCGGAGGCTTGACGCGAGCTCCCGCTGCAACCAACCCACGAAGACTGGACCGTGTAAACCCAGGACGCGCTCGTCAACAAGCGTGGGCGAAGCCGAGCTCTGGCGTACTCGAGCCTTGCGCTTCCCCGACGATTGGTCGGCGATGGGCCCCCGACGGTGAAACTGCGCGCTCCTGGGCGGGGCTGGATATCAGGCCGCCATCAGCGACCCCGGGGCGACTCGGGGCTGGCGCATCCCCCGCTGAGCCTGTCCAGCCCGTCAAGCCCAGTGGCTCTCGGGTCATAGCTCGGGCCTCTGGCGGCCGCTCGGAAAGATCCAGGGCACCCTGGGCAAGCTCCCAACGAGGCGCAGCTGCTGGAAAGCATCCCGAGGCGAGAACACCTACAGTCACCAAAGGGAACGCCCGAAAGCCTCGCCGCCAGAAGACTACCTTCACCCCTACATTCAAAACTGACAGTAAGCATGCGCGGCAAGCATGCAAGCTCCTTGTGCGCCCATGTCGAGGCTCTTCGAGCGGAGCTGGCCATCGAAAGTGGTTCAGGGATGGACCGACGAGGCAAGGATGCCCCTGGCAAAGGTGCCCGCCCCTGTCCTCGGTTTGAGACTGTCGTCCCCGCCCGCTCTCGGACGTCCCCGAGGCCTCGCGGGGCCGCGCCCGAAGCGGCCCTGCCTGGCGCAGCTCTGCTCAGGGCGCCGAGGCACCACGGCGCTGAAGGCGGCGAGCTGGTGCGGCCGCCGCGGCGGGCCTCGATTCCATGGGGCAGCGGCGCCGAGCAGGGCGCCTGCCCGCGTGGCGCGGGGAGGGGCACTGGGGCACTGGGGCAGTCGGCATCGAATCGGGAGATCGTCTCGGATCGCTCGTCATTGTCGGCGTCGTCGAAGTCGTTGGAGACGTCGTCGGTGTCGTCGTAGTCGTTGTCGGCGGCGTCGTCGTCGTTGTCGCTGTCGTCGTCGGCGTCGCTGTCGCTGCCAAGTGCCATTTGGTACCCACCGTCACGGTCTTAAGAGATTTTGCAAACCAAGTTGCGGGTGAGTGGGTGGGATGTTTGCGCGAGCAGTGGAGTGGACAACTCACTGCGAACACATATTAAGTACACAACATATACTGCACCACCTAGGTTGCACCGTATGTGTCTGTATGTTTGCATGTGTGTATGTACGAATGCGTGTGAATAACTTTACTTGCGTACATACATCCATACAGACATACATCGTGCACCGCAATCATTGTACCACCTAGATTACACGATATTGAGTGCACCACAACACAACATAAACTGCACCAAATAGATTACGAGTTCTAACGTTGTACTCGTATTGAGCTTGACATGCGTGTTGGCCACATCGTCCATCCTACATATGAACTCAGACCACCACAGGCAGACAGTTGCCCACCCCCTTCATCCTCATCAGTGTTTAAGAAGCCTTACAACAAAAACGAAGTGCACAAGCGCACGACGTCACGAGCACATGCCGAACTCTTGAACAACAAAAACACTTTGGCCGTGCACGGGATTCCAAATCGATTGCTCCGACAAAAAAAAACACAACACAATGGTTCCGCAACGGGAATGCAAAAACAAACATGCGTTCGCGCTCTGGCGAAGTCGTAAGACGGCCACGTTTTCAATGTCTCCCCCACGTACTGCACAAAGCGTGCATCTCGCGAGCGAATGTCGAAATCGCCCGAAAACCCTTGCGCGCGTGCTGTCGCAATTACCCTTTTGCACAAAACGGGACGACATGCACAAACGCGCGTCGTCACGAAGTCGTTTTCCGAAAAAATGTCAAAATCGGGTGTACCGATATATATATATATATATATATATATATATATATACGCACAAAAACACGTGGTTTTGCAACACCGGTTTACACAAAAGCCTGCGCCGCGCGCGTTCATGCGAATTCTTGACAATTTCTTTCGAATCGCCAACTTAAGAAACCAAAAAATGGTTGATGAATTCTGTATTTAGATTATATCTATATATACACGTGTATATATATATATATAGGATATGGCCTCTTGCGCCGCATGTCAAAATCATTGAGACGCCCCTGCGCGCGTGCTGGGGGGGGCACGGTCCCTGTCAAAAAATACCACGCGGGCCACTCGCGCGCGTCGGCCGCGCGCGCATGTCGAACTCTTCCCAAAACCTGCATCACCGACGCGAGGACATCGGCATCGTCATCGGCGGGCGTGATCAGCATCTGCGCCGTCATTGACCTTGCCGTCGTCGTCGCCACAATCATTACCATCATTGCTACTATCATAATCGTGTCTACCGTTGTCGGCGTCGCCATGATACCGCGCCCGCCCAAGTCACCGGCTCGCACGGAAGTGTCCGCTGGAATTGCCCAGCGGTCAGTGCCACCGCGGCCGCGTCGGTCGCGCCAATCTAGCTGGCCGCTGTGCGCGCGAGCACGCTGGAACTAGCGCGGCCGCAGAGATGCACCAACCAACACCAAACATTCATTGCAATCGCCGCCGGATGGGCTTTGCAAACCAAGTTTCGGATGGGTGAGTAAGATGATTGCGCGTACAGTGGAGTTGACAATTACGAGTTCCACAAGTGAATTGCACCGCGCTGATTGCACCACATGTATTGCACAACGTAAATGACAACATCACAACATGTATTGTACCACCTGGATTGCGCCACGTCGACCACACCGCAGTAGTTGCGCACCACTTGGATTGCACCACATACGTTGCACCACACAGATTGCACCACTTCCATTGCACCACATACATTGTACAACATAGGCCGGCTGTACATGTACAACGTATGCTGCACGACCTCAATTGGACCACAGAAACTGCACAACAGAGATTGTTCCAAATACAATTATACACTAGGGGTAGCTAGAAACACACTGTTTGGGGTCCACGCTTGCTAAAACATGCGCATGCGTATGTGTGTACATATGTGCATGTGAGTACCCAATTCGTCCATCTCTCCCTCTAGCCATCCCTCCGTCTGTCTCTCGCTCTCTTCCTCCCTCTCTCTCTCTCTTTCCCTACCTCTTTTTCACAAGTTCACTCACTCACTCACTCACTGTGTCTCTCTCTCTCTCTTTCTCTCTCTCTCTCTCTCTCTCACCCAGCTCCTGGAGAAGTGGCCAGGAAAACTCACCCAGAAGCTAGTCTCCGCGCCCGTCTCCCCTTTTTGTCCGCCCTCCTCTCCTCCTCCCGATCTGGATTCGCACCCACGACATGCCGGGGCCGGCGGTGGAGAGGCACGGGTCCGAAAAACGAGGCCCGCAACGACTAGAGAAGGAGCAGACATGGGCCCAGCAGCGAGCGAGGGGCCGACGAGAGCAGAAGGAACGGCCGCAACGCAGAAGACGAAGGACCCGCAGAGACCAACCGCTTGGTCGACGCCATTTCGTGGATCACCCTCGCGAAGCGGCGACGGCCGGCATGAGCTATGACCAAGACCGGCTCCAACCAGATCAACGACATCTTGGTCCTCGGGAGAAAGGGAAGAGGCACGAACATAAGCTTCTGGAGGCGCAGAGTTCTTGAATCGGCGCTGGGCGGCCCCCCTCCATGCCGCATGGGGCGCGCCAAGGGCGGCGCCCGAGCCCAGCGCCAGGAACTCCGCGCGGACCCCGGGAAGTGCATCTTTTTGACTTTGCCGTGCCGTCTTCGACAAAAGGACCCCGCGGCATCTTGATCATGGTCCTCCTTCGGGTGTTGCTAGAAGTGCCCCCATGGCCCAGGGCGCCCCCAGGATTTCCAGGGAGGCCCCCACGGCCTCTGGAGCAGCCCTCACGAGGCCCAGAGATCCCCTGGGAGGAGCCAAAAGCTGGGGGCACCCTGGGTCAAGGGCACCTTTAGAAACCCCCGAATCGTGCTTTTCCCCTCGAAAGACCCCCGGGCATCTCCCTGAGTGCGTTCCGACGAACAAAAATCGAGGCGCCTCCCGCCGAAGCGGCGGGGGCCCTCTCCGGAGGCCCAAACATGCGATCAGGCGCTATGTGCACACCCACTGCGTCCTGGACTTTCTGGGAGGGGGCGCCACAAGGGCGAGGCGCAGTGGATGTGGATCAAAATCTGGCCCTTGTGGGCCAGATTCTTATCCACGTCCACTGCGCCTCTGGTTTCCTGGGAGTGGAGCCCGAAACTACCAGAGGCAGTGGATACGGAGACAAATCGGGCCCGCAGAAAAAGCGAAAACGAGGCAAACACTGGGGACTCGCCCAGTGCAAACACATTGCCCGCTGCACCTTCACTGAGAGGCCTCCCAGATGGGGTCCGAGTAATTTGATGGGGTCGGACGATCCCGCCACATCGCCAGTGCACCGGCGATGCCTCGCTGATGCCTCGGCGACGTCGGCGATGCACCGGCGCCGTCCGCACGTGTGGAGCGAGTCGGTCTCCACATCGGCTCGCAGCGTCGGTGCATCGGCTGTGCGGCGCGATCCTCCGACCCCGCGTGCTGCCGGCCCCGCCCTGGGAGGCCCGGACCAAGTGGCAGCACGTCGCCCGCTGCACCCCGCCCCCCCCCCCGGGGAGCCCGCCGAGCAGCGCGGCACGCCGCCCCGCGCCCGCGGCGGCCATGCTGGCCCCGGGGCCGTCGGGGCGCGTCGGGGCGGGGGGAGCCGCCGCCAACGCGAGTCGCTGGATGCGATGGGGAGGCGAAAGGGCGGCCTCCCTCCTGCTCCTCCGCATCCTCCTCGTCCTCCTCCTCCTCCTCCTCCTCCTCCTCCTCCTCCTCGTCCTCGTCCTCCTCCTCCTCCTCCTCCTCCTCCTCCTCCTCCTCCCTCCTCCTCCTCCTCCTCCTCCTCCCCTCCTCCTCCTCCTCCCTCCTCCTCCTCCTCCTCCTCCTCCTCCTCCTCCTCCTCTGCGTAGAAGGCGGCCTCGATCTCCGACGAGCTGCTCTGTTTCGGCCCTCGGGTACTCATTGTTCCTCGATTGTCGGCCCTGGGGCAGGCCGTCTCACCCGGCCGCGTGGGCTGCCTCACCGAGGCCACAACCCCAAATTCCAAACGAGATGATTTTCGTCCACCGGCGGCGCGTCCGAGACTTCGGCCCCTGGGGGCCGCGTCTCAGGCCCCGGGGCCATCGTTCGGGGCCCCGACGACCGTGTGGTGACGGACCACGCGGTGACCTCGAAGTCCTCAGCGACCTCACCGCGGGGTCCGTCACTGCACGGTTTTGGGACCCTGGGGGCCCCAGTCGCCCGAGACGTCCTCGGAGGACGACCCGAGTCCCAAAACCGTGCTGTGACCTCGAATCCCCGCTGACTCACCACGCGGTGTGGTCACCACACTGTTTGCCCCCCCCCCGAAAGCGAAGCTGGATCTGGAACGTGAAACCACCTCCGGGGATGCGGTCGGGATCCCTGGGGCCGCGGATTGGCTGAACTCGGCGGAAGTCAGGGGAGCGGGAATCCCTCACGTCCTTGTCCCGTCGGGAGGGAAATCACAACGGGAAGCTTTGGGCCAAGTTCGGCCTCTGAGGGCTCTTCTTCGGCCCCAGACCAATAAGGAACGGCTCAGGACAGATATCCGAATAGGAATGGGGGTCCAGCTCTCCAGGGTCCACGCTGCGGAACAAAAACGTGCCGTCGACTTTCAGGGCGGAGGGGAAACATCGACCTTGCATCTGCGAGACACCGCGGATGGATTGGCGATGGGCCCCGCACGCTCCTGGGCAGGGTGGCGCTATCGGGCCCCCTATCGGCGATCAACAGGCGACTGGGTCGGGGATGGACAGACCCCCCTTTAGTAAAACGTGGTTTAGTGAAAACGACAAGAGGCCCAAACCTGGCGGGCGCAAGCCTGGAAAATAACGGCCACGGCGCCATCTCGAGAACCGAAAACGGACAATTCACTAATCGACGTGTCACTGTTGGGGGTTCTGTCCACCCCCGACTGGGGGCCGATGCAGCCCCCAAGGGAGGGGGGAAGGCGAGAGGGGGATGGGCCGAGGGTGGCTCCAGGATGGCCCGAGGGTGGCCTCCGAGAGGGCCCCACGCAGACTGCTCGTGATGGCCTCCCGGGGGCAGGAAAGCGAGACGAGGTGATGAGGCTGAGAGGAAGAGGAGGAGGAGGAGGAAGATGAGACGGAGGGGGATCAGGAGGATGTGAGTAGATGAGGGAGGTACAGGAGGAGATGAGGATGGGAGGACCACGAGGAAGAGCAACGGCTTCAGAAGGCTTGCACAGGGCGGGGGAAGGATGAGGAGGAGGAGGAGGAGGAGGACCTGTGTAAACCCAAGCCGCATCAACGATATTGCAATAAACCCTCCCTGCAAGTTTCCCTCTTCATAGGTCCCTATCAGAGCTTATGTTCATTGCAGGAAGTGCCACATTGGAAGACAACTCTCTGAGAATCCTCAGTAATGCCAAAACACCAATCCTGGGACTTCAGCGCCACGAACCTACGTGACTATTGAATCCTGACAATCCTGAACCGTGCCAGAACACCACTCCTGGGACCTTTACACAGCGAACCTATGTGACTGCTGCGTCCTGGCAAGCCTAAATCGTGCCACCCTTCCTGTGAGATCAGCAATACAAATCCTCGAAACTGCTGCAAGGTGTTGCAACACACGTGCGCTGCGCTAAGGCGAGAACCACATTTCGAGCAAGAACCGCTCACCATCCATGAAACTGCTACAAACTTGGAGGCGAACGTGTGCGGCTCTACAGCTAGAACCACGTGTTGAAGCCACCCGCTCCCCATCCGTGAGAACTGCAGTAGGATTCCAAGACCAGCGTGCGCGGCGCTCCAGCGAGAACCCCACTCTGAAAACACGCTGGCCCTACATCGGTGACACTGTTGATAACGTTTCAGGCGAACGTGCGCAGCGCTGGACCCCTGGGCCGAGAGACACCTTTTGAAAGCTGCCCGCCCTTCATCCGCGCACTTGGTGCCCATCTCAAGCTTCAGGATCATGACAGGTGCGGAAGTCTGAGGCGATACGCCCGGCCCGCCCTACCGACACGTCTCGGGGTGCGACGGGGGGTACTAAGGCATGGAGGAGGAGGTGAGGAGATGAGGGGAGGAGGACGGAAGGAAGGGGGGAGGATGAGGAGAAGGAATAAGGAGAGTGGGGGAAGGAGGAGGAGGAGGAGGAGGAGGAGGAGGAGGAGGTTTTAGGAGGTCTTGACAACCTGAAAAGTGGAGTATCCTGGGCTTCAGGAGGTTTCACGGGTCCCAAGCGCTTCAGCAGGTTTCAACAAGGCCAGGGGGGCAGGGGGAGGAGCAGAAGGAGGAGGAGGAGGAGGAGAAGGAGGAGGAGGAGGCGGAGGAGGAGGCGGAGGAGGAGGGGACAACGAGAGCGAGATCATGATGTCTGCGCAAGACGTGTCTTGCCAAACTTACGTTACATTACCCAGAAGCCTATGTTGGCGAGCGATGTTAGAGGCGGATCGGAAGGAGTCCGATCAAGGCAACAGGCTGGAGCTACCTGGAAGGATTTATCAACCGTGAGTTCACAATCGAAGAAATTTCAGAGTCGAGACAGACATGCGTGTATACCAGGAAGAAGCCCAACAAAAACCCTCTCCAGCCCGGCCAAGCCGGCGGCTGGCGTTCGTGTTAGGAGTCGAAGGGGGGACAGGCGGTCGCGCTTGGTCTTGCCCGATACTGTGCGTAGAAAGCCTTCGGGGGGAGGAACGTTTGAACGAAGGGGGGACGAGGGGAAGAAAAAGAACGGACCCTCAGGCCTGGGCGGCGAGACAACAAACGACGACGGGACCCTCCCGAATCTCCCCGGCTCGAAACGCGAAGCAGAAACAGCGGATACGGCCAGGAACTTGTGCACAGCGTGTCGCAGAAGCGGCCCCAGCGACACGCTGCGCCCTGCAAGCGGATAGCGTGTCCCTCCGCTCCGCTGTGCGGGAGGCTCGTGAAGGCTGGGAAACGGATAGAATGCCGCGCTGAAGCTGAAGCGTGGTGGGCCAGAACCGGCAGATCCACACGCTATTCCGCAACATCCCGACCGCAATCTTACTACAGGTGGAGCTCGACCACAAGAAGCCTTCCGCAAGGAATCCAACTCTGAGACCCCAGGGCGTCCATTGGTTCTTGGTGTGGGAACGTCACGCTGTTCATGGCGAAACCATCGAAACCCAAGAAACCCATGGCACCCTGGAGGCAAGCAGTGTGTTTTGTTGGTATGGTACTCCACTGTAAATTGAATTTGCCCCCTGACGGCATCGGGCATGACAGAGGGGGGAGGAGGGGAGCGGCGGGGCAAACCCGCCCAACGTGGTCCGACGAAGTGCCGCGTGCATTATCGCTCGACGCTCGGACATGCTGCGATTCGTGACTGCCGAGGAGGGAAGGCGAAGGAGGAGGAGGAGGAGGATGCACGCTCCAGGCTGCCGCCTCTAGTTGGTCGAACGTAACAAAAGGAGAATGGGCAGGATGAAGAGGAGGAGGAGAACGAGGAGGAGCAGCAGCAAGACTCGGTGGCAACTCATGGGAGCCTCCCATGCCATCCTACTGGCTCTTGCGAGTCGACGCTGACCCTGGCCAATCGGCGCTCATCGACGCTGACTCGATTCTAAATCGACGCACATCGACGCTGAACAGGCGCTTTCCATCGACCATCACACGCTGGTTCATGCGAACGCACTGTGCAGGCGGAGTCACGAGGACATGCGAGGCTCACGTGATTTGACACCGAAGGAGGCGGGCCAGCAAGGGCAAGGATTGAGGGGGTTCGAAACAGAGCTTCAGGGATTTTAGCGGGGGTCGCAGGGCGCCCGTGGGAGGCTCCAGGAGGCACAGAGGGAGGGGGGGGGGGGGCAGAGGGGACGACGTAGACGACGAAGACCATGGGGAGGAAAAAAGGGACTGGCAGAATGGGAGGCGGAAGGGAACACAGCGGGGGGGAATTGACGGGACCTCTTGGGGAGCCAGGCGGGACTCTCCTGCTGGCGGGTCGGGACAAGGGCGGCGCGAACACCTCCCCGCAAAGCTACACACACACACGCCCTGTCAGACAACGCGATGCAGTACAACTGGGATTCTTCACCGAAGGCCCCCACCACTCCTGCTCCGTCTTCATTCGTGTTGACAATCTACCTCCGCGCCTGCAACATGTTGAGGCGTGGAAGAATGCCAAATGCACCCTTGCAAGGTTTCTGTAGTTGTTCCAGGGACCACCCACCCGTCACACTCCAAGCCGGCCCAAGAGACGCACAAGACAACCCAAGAGGGCCCCAAGACAACCCCAAACAGGGCCCAACAGAGGGAACAGGGACCGACATTCCGAGCCTTCCGCCCCGAGAGGCCCCCAGGATGTCCCAAGAGGCCCCCAATGCGTCCCCAAGAAGCCTCCAGGAGGCTCCAAGAGGGCCCCCAGAGGCCCCAAAACGGCCTCCAAGAGGACTCGAAACTGCATCCAAGAGGCCCCCGAGAGGCCTCCCACGAGATCCCAACGAACGTCAAATTGGCTTCATACCCACAACCCAAGCACGGTGGCGGGACTTGCCGTAGGCAGCAGCTTGATATCAGAATTATGATGATGCTGTTGCTGATGATGATGTTGATGATGATGATGATGATGATGATGATGATGATGATGATGATGATGATGATGC